ATTTGATTTTACAGATTTTCACTTCATGATCTTGATGGATAATAGTTACTTAATGTGAAAATTTGATTGATCATTTGAGTTTGATGGAGATTTTTACACCCCGATTTATAGGACTTGTGAGGAGAAATCACTTATCTCGAAAAAAAGAAGAAAGAGAGAACAATGTGAAAAATCTAAAAATGAAGAGTACACATGGAGGGTGTGATACATCATTCTCATTGTCAAAAATCGTGCATAGAAAAATACTTACTACAAAATAAGTGGATAAAGTGAAAGCCTTGAAAATGAATAGTACACATGGAGGATGTGAGACATCATTCTTAGTGTCGAAATTTGTCTACGAGAAAAGCTACTTATCCACTATATATATAAAAAAAAAAGAAAAAGAAGAAATATAGTGTAAACTTCAAAAATTAAGCCATGGAAAAAATTAAATGTAAGATCAATATATATTCTTAGATGAGTATTGACAATTAAAACATCTTGTAAATATATCTATGAGTGAAGAAATGATAGAGATGTGAATAGAAGAAGTGAAGTCTAGATTGTTATTCTAAGGAGTGCTTAAATATTTAAGTGCTTGACATCATTCTTAAATACTTGATATAAGAATCCAAAGTGTCTAAAGGTGCATCATTTCTGATTGTATTTTTTTTTATTTTTATGTATTGAAATATGATGTTTGAGATTTGTAAAAAACGAATTCGTAATTCTATTGCAAAGAGACTAGCAATGATTTAAGTTGGAGGTGTGATAAGTCTTCATTATTATGAGTTAATAATTAGTAAATAATATAGTTTTCACCTTAACTCATGATAAATAACTTATATTTGTGTTAAAGTGTGAAAAGTAGTTTTCAATTAATTAATGTGAATTTTTAGGTAATTATGTGATTTTATATGATTTTATATAATTTTTATAGTCTTACTTTTGAGATAAATGAAGAAAAAGAAATTAAAATAAAAATAAGACAAATGGGGAACCCACCGGCCAGCCAAGCCTGCAAGCGGGTCAGAAGTGCAGTTGGGGAGTAGCCGCGAGCAGAGGCTCAAGTGGCTTGGACCGATTGGGCACGTGTGCACCACCCCCCTTCCACGTCACTAGTGGCCAGCCGGTTGTGGGGCAAGGAGTGGTCGTACACATGCAAGAAAAATACTTCATCAAAAATGTAGTATTACTATATATTCATCAGAAATTTTGGCGCACAACCGATGTGAGACTTCTTTAACCTGCGTCACACCTCCCAGAAAGGGCATGGGGGCAATTGGCATAGGTTCGAAAGTGAAAATTCATATTTTGTTTATCTGATTATTGTGACTTTCCTGTAAACCATCGGTGAAGGATTAAGCAACTAGAATCGCTAGATCATCGACAAAAATCTCGTCAAATGCAATTCACAGAGTATTGTTACTAAAATTATTGAATGATTTGTGATAAAAGAATTGCAAATCCATCGAGTAACTAATCTCCGATTGATCGACAAACAAGCTGTCGTCGAGAAGAAGACGATCCGCTAGGAGATGAGTCCCCACTTTTTGAGAGCATACCAGATGCGATGTAGAGCCTCCTCTTGTGATGCAGACCTGAGGATGAAGCTTCTTGACACGCGCCCCACCTCCATCCAGCTCCTCTCCATTAGGTGACAGCCACCGGAGATGATTTGATGACCCATTTCATTGATCTCTAGACTTCGCAAAGAGATCTAGAGATTGCCTATGTTGTCTTTGTCCAAGGAGAGCCTTCAAGGTTGTAGGCGCTCAAGATTCTGGTACATTACCGACGCATCACCGTTGCGATGTTGGAACTCTATTTTCCTACTTTCAACTTAATTTTTGTTTCATTTAGTGATAACTTGTTGATTTTAAATTTACCAAGATATACTTCATTTCATTATAATTCTTTTAGATTTTCCAAATCTTAATTTAATCAATTGAATCGTCTATAATCATTTACGTAAGAATCATTGGGCAGAACTCTATTTCTGCCAGATTTGCATTCGCGAGGTGCTGACATCATCCTAATATCCGAACCCTTATTTCTTTTTTTTGTGAATTTTAAATATATTTATTTTTCATTTACTAGTATCAAATTCTTAGAAAATAATATTCATTGAGGACAATTCTAAAAAATTACTAGATATTATATTACATCCCTCTAATCGACCTAGAAAATTACTGCTATTTTTGAAAGTTTTATTGAATTATAATTGATATATTTATTCAGAAATATTTCTAAATATCCAAAAATTCATATTTTCTAGTTTTATAAATTTAAAATTTGTGTGATTTACAATACAACAACTAAGTCACGTCAATAATCAATGTATCCCTTTCTCACATGTGTACGGCCACTCTTTGTCACATGCCCGACTGGCCATTGATGATGTGGAAGGGAAGTGACGCACATGTGTCCCCCTATCAGTTAGTCTTTAGCCGCTCAAGCCCTTACTCACGGTTCCGCCTATCTATACTTCCAACCTGTTTGTGGGCTTGACTAGGTGGCAAGTTTTCTCTTTCTTCTATCTTTTAATTTTATTTCTCTTTATTTATCTCAAAAATAAGATTATTAAAATTATATAAATTCACATAAGCTTTCATAATTAGCCAAATTAATCAATTAAAAACTATTTTTTATAATTTGACATAAATATAAGTCTATTTATCAAGAGTTTAGATTAAAACTATATTATTAATTAATTATTAACTCATGATAATGAAAACTTATCAATATCTTCATTAAAGTATATATTTTTTGATTAACATCAAACTTATCCAATGATTATATCATCGTATTTGTCTAAGGATCAAGAGAATAGATTACTTGATGTACTTAGGACATAGAGAGAGGTGATTGGTTGGTCTCTAGCAAATATTTGAGGACTTGATCTATTTGTGTGTATGCACATATTTTATCATGAGGAGAACTATCATTTCCTTACTAGCTTTTGTTTAGGACATATTTTATTGGTCGAGTGCTTTAGTTAGAGAACCATTCAAGGGCAATAGTGTAGTAGATGGGGCATAAAAACCAGAATTTTCTTCCCTTTTCCCTTCTCTCACATGCATTAAAGACTTTTGCATGCATTAGAGATAATGCATCATTCAAGTAGGGGGGAGAACAAAAAAATTCAAAAATGTTCTGAATATTTTAAAACTTTTGCTGCATTGATTATTTGCACAAACACGTATGATTAAACGAACAAAGCCTAATGCTCCTTTAAAAGGGTAAGTCAATTAGAAAAGTTTACCTTCTCTAGATTAGGGGTGTGGATCTCATGAAAAAAAGATAGGTGAATTCTTTACCATGATCATTATTCTTTGAAGTATGAAGGAGTTTTAGGTTGTATTCATGGGTATGTGGTGCGACAATAAATGGCTAATGATAGTATATTGTGGATGAAAACGATTGAACTAGATCATCTTAGTCTAGTTATTATGTTGTGGTTGATAAGTCTTCATTATCTGTATTTACCTTATATTTATCAATATTCAGTGCATAAAATTAACAGAAATAATACATGTTACATTTAATTCGTATGCATTCAGATCATTCATACATAAACATGTATTTTAATATTTTTAAAATTATTTTAAGATAATTAATTTTAAATAATTATGCATGAAATATTTTTATGTGAGTTTTAGGATTTTCTAAATTTTATCCTGGATTTTTTGAAATTTTCTAGAATTTCTCATAATTTCTAAGAGGTTTTGATATAAAGGTCTAAAATAAAAGAAAATCAGAATGAGTTGGGCTGGGCCGAGCCAAGTGACCCAATGGGCCGGAATATTCAGAGGCTAAAAGTTAAACCATCAACAGGTCGACAGTGGAAGCAGAACCGACGAGTTGGCATGACACTTAAGCAGATGTGGGACACGTGGCCCACACGGGTTCGACGACATTTCAACGGACATCGTGAACAGAAATTGGCACAATTTACGTCAGACCTCAAAGAGAAATGTAATTGGAGATCCGTACCTAATGGCAGAACGTGAAAGAAGAGCGGGTGATAGAGTAAGGCTGTCATTGATCTCTCTTTCTTTCGCGCCTTTTCTCGCTCCCTTTGTCTGTCTGCTCTCTCTCACTCTATCTTGCTCTCGCTTTCTTTCTGTGGATGCGTCCTCGCTCTACGAAGCACGGCGGAGTTCGGACAGCCTGCCGCCTTCTCCTCTCCTCTCCGTCGAGTTCTTCTGGAACCCTTTCTCGTGCGCGAATCCGGAGGAAGAGTGGGAGGCCGCATCCGGCGGAGGAGTCCACCGCCGAAGACGCCGAGGTCACGGTCGGCGCCGCCTCACGGAGAGGTCGTACGTTCCCAGGCTTCTGCTTCCCTGAAAGGCCGCTCCGGGTATGTTCTAGTGCCGTCTTTCGACGAATTCTCGCCTTTCGTTGATTCGGGGGTTATGTTCTAGTGCCGTCTTTCGATGGGTTCGTGATTTTCTGTGTCGGGGGCATCTTCTTGTGGACTCTTTGGATGGGATCTTTATTTTCTTTGATTTGGACTTTCGGTTGCCTGCGGTGGTGCGGGTGGTGCGAGATTGCTGAAGAAAGCTCTGGCTTTCCTCCTTCCTCTTATTTATTTACCTTCTTCCGATTTGTTTTGCCGCTTCGTTGCTGATTCGATTTGATGTTTGGTCTGGGTAGGGGGATCTATCTTCTTCTTTAGACTTCCATCCGATTGCTCTTTGGGGACGGATGAGTGTTACCGTCTGGAGGAGAAAAGATTATTTCAGCAAGGTTTATCGATTGACGGTGACGGGTGAGCGTGTTGAATCAAGGGGCACATTCGATTTTCGGATCGCTGAGCGATCGACCAGTTTCTGGAGAAGAACCCGGTGATTTCCGGCAGGAAACAACACCCTCCGTACCTGCAGCTCTCCCGAGCGTTATTCCCCACCCAGAAAAACCATCAGAACTTGGTGGCGGGCTGTCCTGTTGAGAAAGCAGCTGGAATCGAGGGAGGAAGTGTGGACGAGGTTGTCGGGCTACAGGAGGAAGCGAGGATGTCTCCCATCCCGGATCGGGTACATGCTTCGACGTCCCTCATTCCTTTCCTTGACGGCGACTGTAGAGAGCTTTCTCTCTCCATCCCAAAGCACATCACATCTTGACAATAGGAATGTCCTATCCAAAATCGACAGGTGCAGGTCGGAAATTCTCCATTATACAAGGTAGAGAGAATGTTGGGTGCAGGAGGTTTTGGGCTGGTCTACATTGGACGAAGGGTGGCTGGTGGATCTCAGGGCGATGGGCCCAATGCCTTTAAGGTTTAGTTTCAACCTCCCATCACTCCTGCCAAGGGAATCTTTAAATACTGCTGTTTTATGTTGTCTCTTTCATTTTCCTGCGGTGGGTGTAGGTAGCACTGAAGTTTGAGCATAGAAATAGCACGGGTTGCAGATTTGGCCCCCCATATGAATGGCAAGTTTATGAGTAAGAAGACACCCCCTACTGCTCTAATTTATTACGTATTGTGTCGATCTAAAACTACGTTCTTCATCTGACTTTGTGAATATGGTTTTAGCCATCTCAAGGGATGCTATGGATTGCCTAGGGTGCACTACAAGGGCCGCCAAGGAGATTATTTCGTCATGGTTGGCGTAGAGTCTTTCATTTTATTGTTTCCTCGAATTATGTTTTTTATTGAAAGCTAATTATGATATTGTTGATGATGATTGCTGCAGATCATGGACATCCTTGGACCAAGTCTCCTGGATGTGTTCATATCCATTGGGCAAGTGTAAGAAAATAATCTTGACTTCATATTCAAAGTCAATATTCTGTTGAGAATTGTGCTATTGAGTTTGACTAACTCCTTGGACAGAATGCCACCAAATATGGTGGCTTGTATTGCTGTGGAGGCAATATCCATCCTTGAGAAGCTACACCAAAAAGGGTACGTATGGCTTTGTGGCAGTGTGATATTTTTTCAATTAAATTTTTGCAAAGGTCACAGTAATCAATTCATTGCTCCCTTGTGCACTCCCCTCCCTCCCTCCACCCACACAAAAAAAAAAACATGCCAGGTTTGTGCATGGAGACGTCAAGCCAGAGAATTTATTGTTGGGTAAACCCGGAAGCTCAGGGGAGAAGAAGCTTTTTCTCATCGACTTTGGGCTGGGTATGTTGCTGCATTCCAATCACTTCTTGTTTTCACCTTTCGCACCTATTGATTTTAGAGTAGGGTTTGTTTTTCCAAGTATATAAACAAATTCGTCTTGACTGAGAAGTCCCTGTCTGTATCAACATCAGTGATATTTTTGTGCTTTGTTCAGAGCCTGTACAAATGCTAATTGGTGTCATTAATATTTTAATCAGCTTCAATGTGGAGGGACAGTTTGTCAGGCCAGCATGTCAGCTTATGCCAACAGCCAGATAATTTCAGGTTTTTTGGGAAACGATATTCTATTTTTTCCCTAAATTCTTAGCTAAGAGGAGGATTCATAAAATCTTACCCCTACCTTACTATCTATCTCATGTTCCCTAGGGGCACAACACGATATGCAAGCGTCCATGCACATTTAGGCCTCACAGCGAGTAGAAGAGATGATCTTGAGTCATTGGCCTACACTCTGATTTTTTTGATTAAAGGAAGGCTGCCGTGGGAAGGCTATCAGGTTTGCTTTCACCTCTACTTGTACATGTTCTCCCATCTCTTTGATTGATCACTTGCTGATTCTTATGCCAACTATGTAGGGGAATGACAAGAGGTTTCTAGTCTTCATGAACAAGACTGTAACCTCCCCCGAGACGCTGTGTGGTGGCTGTCCCCCTCCTTTTGCACAATTCCTTGAAGCAGTGAAGAAGATACAATTTGTTGAGCAGCCCACCTACTCGAAGCTCATTTCTCTTTTTGGAAGCTTGATATGCCCCCCCTGCACCCTGTTAAAGACCATTCGGATTGATGCAATTTTGAAGGTGGTTGCAAACATGACATCACTAAAATTACCTCACATATTTTTATTTTATGTCAGATGGTTTTATCTCTTTTTCATGGCTCTATCATCTGTTGTTAAATAGGCTGACCATGTTTCCAACAGGTTCACCAAAAACGTGGAAGATTGCAGGTAAATAATGAAGAAGATGAGTGTCATAGAAAGAAACGGATAAAATGTTTGATTGATGACAGACCATGACCATGTACATGTAAGAATATAAATAAAATCTGTAAAGTGCCAATTGAGAAAACATAAATCTCATGACTAAATTATTTATTATTATTGTTATTATTTATTCATAAAGAAAACGATAGTTTAAAAGCCTCATATTAAGGGCATGAATATAATACTTTTTTAATGTAATCATAGCTATTGATAAAGGTGTGTAATTAATATTTATGCAAAAACAGAAACTATATCAATCAATGATAATAATACAAGACAATCATTTAGAGGGCGTGAGTATAAGTAGATATTTATATCATAGTTACTCTTGCTAGGAATATGTATCATTTATTGCCAACATTTAAACTTTAGAAATGTTTTGTACCTACTATCTATTCACCTTAGAAATGGCACCACTTTGGACGTAACCTATTGAGTACAGGAATATAATATGTTTAAGTACATTCACACTTACAAATTATCAGAAATAATTATTAGACCGATAAATGTAAATTTTATGCATAAATAATGAATATTACTTTTTTATAAGAAAGCTGGCACATAAAAATACAGTATTAAAGGGAAGAAATCTAATATTATTTCATACAATCATAATGATTAGTTGCAATGAATAATTACTATAGTTTACCAAAATGAAAATTTTATCAGTAAATAAATGAACACTACAAGTATTGGATTAAATGGCACGAATTTGATAGTTTAGGTTATATTTATAATTACTAATCACTATGATTAAAATTATTTATTAGAATATGTAAAGTTATGAAGAAATAAGAATTATGTATTGGAAGCTTATGTGTCCACCAAAGGACACACATCCACCCCATAATGTGTTTAGAACCACATGTAGTCCAAAACTGAAAGTAATGTAATGTCGTAATTGGTTCCCATCATAGTAAAAGTATGATTTCTTTAGTGATGATCTAAAAATTAAGAAGCATCTAGATTCATAGAAGATTGGGTATATAAAGAGGAGTTTGAAATAAAAGTCGCATAGTTATGCTTTGTAATGTTTTCAATTTGAAAAGCATATCTTGACAAAGTTAAATCTTATATGATTCACATGAATGAATGTCATCGTATATACTTTTTATACATTGCACCCTCTAGATGTTTTCCTAAACTTGAAGAAAAATGTACCCATCGTCAAATCTTGATTCATTCTATTGATGAGTGGAAAATAAATTTCTTGTCTAAACTAAGACTTTAAGCATAAGTAGGAAGTTATTGTATTAACAAGTGTGCCGACCATCACATTTATAAGGATAATGAATTAATCATGGAAAGTATTTATTGAAACAAATTATTATCTATTTTGACTGTAGTCTAATGTACAATTGTAATTAAGAGTTACATAATTCTATATGAGACCCCTATTAAATGTTTTTGAGCCAAATCTATATTGTATATAAATAGTTTTACACATATAAAATAAGGTTTTTTTCTTTTTAAGAGCACATGTATAATATTTTCAAGTAAATTGATAATATTTTCAAGTATAATATTTTTACCTTTATTATTTGTTAATATAATGTCTTTTTTTGTCATAATAGGAAACCATTGATACATTTTCATTATCATGAGTTAATAATTAGTAAATAATATATTTTTAACCTTAACTCATGACAAATAGACTTATATTTCTGTTAAATTATGAAAAATAGTTTTCAATCGGTTAATATGATTGTTTTAGCTAATTAGGTAATTGTCTATGCATTTATATAATTTTTATAGTCCTATTTTTGAGATAAATCAAGAAAAAGAAATGAAAATAAAAATATAGCAAAAAGAGCGGACTTGTTAGCCAACTGGCCCTGCAAGCAGGTCAGAAGCGTAGTCAAGGGGAGCCACGAGTAGGGGCTCGGGTGTCTAGGACTAATGGGGGCATGTGTGTGCCACTCCCCTTCTACTTGATTAGTGGCCAACTAGGTTTGAGGTAAGGAGTGGTCTTACATGTGAGAGAAAAGTACTCATTACTTGTTGACATGAGTCAATCGTTGTATATTAAATCACGCAAATCTAAAATTTATAAAACTAGAAAATACAAATTTTTAGATATTTAGAAGTATTTCTAAATAAATATATCAATTATAATTCAATAAGACTTCCAAAAATAGCGATCATTTTCCAAGTCGAGCATAGAGATATAATATAATATGTGGTAAGTATTCATAATTTTTCTCAATGAATATGATTTTCTATGAATTTTATACTAGGAAATAAAAAGGAAATATATTTAAAATTCACAAAAAAGGAAAATAAGGGTGCGGATGTCAAGATGACATCAGTGCCTGGCAAACACGAATTAGGTAGAAATAGAGTTCCGTCCGACAATTCTTATGTAAGTGATTATATACGATTTAATTAATCAAATTAAGATTTATTAAAGTCAGAAGAATCGTAATAGAATGAAGTATATTTTGGTAAATTAAAATCACAAAAATTATCACTAATTTTTAATGAAACATAAAGTAAGTTGAAAGTAGGAAAATAGAGTTCCGGTGTCGTGATGGTGATGTGTCGACGATGCACTAGAATCCTGAGTATTTGGGAGGATCGCCGTGTAGTGTCCACAACCTCAAAAGCTCTCCTTAGACAAAGATGACGTGGGTCTAAAGACTTCCTTGCGAACTCTAAAGATCAATGAAGTGGGTCGTTGAATCGTCTCCAGCGGCTGTCACCCGGTAGAGCAGAAAAATGACGACTTTGTGGCTCTTTGGCGGCTGTCACCCAACGGAGAGGAGCTGGATGGCGGTGGGGCACGAGTCAAGGAGCTTCATCCTCCAGTCTATGCAGCAAGAGGAGGCTCTTCATCGCATTTGGTATGCTCTTAGGAGGTGGCGACTCGTCTCCCGGCAGATCATCCTCTTCCCGACAATAGCTTGTTCGTCGATCAATCGGAGATGCTTTACTCGATGGATTCATGATCTTTTTATGACGAATTGTTCAGTAATTTTAGTAATAATGCTCCGCGAATCATGTTGACGAGATTTTTGCCAATGATCTAGCAATTCTGGTTGCTTAATCCTTCATCCACGATCTACAGGAAAGTCATGATAATCAGATAAAAAAAATATGAGTTTTGACTCTAGTAGGATTCGAACCTATGTTGGTTGCTTGCCCTCCTTCTGAGGAAGATGTGACGTGGGTTTAGTCTCACATCGGTTCTGTGCCAAATTTATGAGCGAATATATAGTAATGTTAGATTTCTAAGCAAAGTCTCTTCTCTCACATATACAACCACTCCTTACCTCATAGTTAGCTGACCACAGTGACATGGAAGGAAAGTGGCACACACATGCCCCTATCTATCCAAGCCACTCGAGCCCTTACTCGCGGCTACTCCCCAACAACGCTTTCAACCTGCTTGTGGGCCTGGTTGACTGGCGGGTCCCCCTCATTTTGTCTTAGTTTTATTTTTTTATTTCTTTTTCATCATTTATCTCAAAAGTAAAACTATAAAAATCATATAATTTTGTGTAAAATCATATAATTACCTAAAAATTCATATTAATCAATTGAAAACCACTTTTCACACTTTAACGTAAATATAAGTCTATTTATTATGAGTTAAGGCTAAAACTATGTTATTTACTAATTATTAACTCATGATAGTGAAGACTTATCACTTGTAAATGTGATATTACTATATATTCGCCTAAAACTTTGGTGCACAAGCGATGTGGGACTAAACCCACATCACACCTTCCCTTGAAAGGCTTTGAAGATTTTAATACCTAAATTACTCCTTAGTTATAATAGAGATATACTATGACGACGTCACGTGATAAGGGCATTGGAGTACTTATTGCAATCTCTCTCATGTAGGCGGGCAATCAGCACGAGTTTGAATCCTCCTAGCGCCCAATAAAGGATTATCTCGACTTTCTTGTAGATTACCAATAAAAGATTAAGCCACTAAAATTGTTAGATCATTGGCAAAAAACTTGTCAATGCAATTCACAATCTGCCAAGAGATGAGTTGCCACCTTTTGAGAGCATATTGAATGTGATTAAGAGCCTCCTCTTGCTATAGAAACCTGAGGATGAAGCTCCTTAACACGCGCCCCACCTCCATCTAGCTCTTTTCCGCTAGGTGACTGATAAGTCTTCATTATCATGAGTTAATAATTAGTAAATAATATAGTTTTAGCCTTAGCTCATGATAAATAGACTTATATTTGTGTTAAAGAATGATTTTTGGTTTTCAATTGATTAACGTGAATTTTTGGGTAATTATGTGATTTTATACAATTTTTATAGTCTTACTTTTGAGATAAATGAAGAACAAGAAATAAAAATAAAAATATTGTAAAAATGGGGGGACCCGCCAGCCAGCCGTGCCCCCAAGTGGGCCGGAAGCACAGTCGGGGAGTAAGCCGTGAGCAGGGGCTTGAGCGGCTTGGTTTGGGGACGGATCGACAGGGCATGCGTACGCCACTCCCCTTCCACGTCACCGGTGGCCAGCCGGCTGTGGGGCAAGGAGTGGTCATACACGCGAGAGAAGGGACTTTGCTCACAAAGCTAACATTACTATATATTCGCCCGAAGAATCGGCGTACAACCGATGTGGGACTAAACTCGCGTCACACCTTCTTCAGGCAGGGCGACCGGCGCGGGTTCGAATCCTCCCAGAGTCAAAATTCATATATTTTTATCTGATTATCGCGACTTTCCTGCAGATCGCCAGTGAAGGATTAAGCAACGAGAATCGCTGAATCATCGGCAAAAATCTCGTCAACGCGATTCGCGGAGCATTGCTACTAAAATTGTTGAACGATTCGCGATAAAAGGATCGCGAATCCATCGAGTAAATCATCTCCGATTGATCGACGAACAAGCCGTCGTCGGGAAGAGGACGATCCGCCGGGAGACCAGTCGCCACCTCCTGAGAGCGTACCAGATGCGATGAAGAGCCTCCTCTTGCTGCGCGGACCTGAGGATGAAGCTCCCTAACACGCGCCCCACCTCCATCCAGCTCCTCTCCGTCGGGTGACAGCCGCCGGAGAGCCGCAAAGTCGCCGTTTTTCCGCTCCGCCGGGTGACAGCCGCCGGAGACGATTCGACGACCCACTTCATTGATCTCTAGACTTCGCGAGAAGATCTAGAGATTGCCCACGTCGTCTTTGTCCAAGGAGAGCCTTCGAGGCCGTGGACACTACACGACGATCCTCCCGAATGCTCAGGATTCCGGTGCATCGCCGACGCATTGCCGTCGCGACGCCGGAACTCTATTTTCCTGCTTTCAATTTAATTTATGCTTCATTTAGTGATACTTTGTTGATTTTAATTTACCAAACTATACTTCGTTCAATTACGATTCTTTTGGCTTTTACAGATCTTAATTTGATTAATTAAGTCGTCTGTAATCGCCTACGTAAGAATCGCCGGGCGGAACTCTGTTTCCGCCTGATTCGCGTTCGCCGGGCGCTGACGTCATTCTAACGTCCACACCCTTATTTCCTTTTTTTTCGTGAATTTTAAATATATTTCCTTTTTATTTCCTAGTATAAAATTCGTAAGAAAATCATACTCATTGAGAAAAATTCTGAATAATTACCAGATATTATATTCTGTGATCGACTTGGAAAATTACTGCTATTTTTGGAATTTTTATTGAATTATAATTGATATATTTATTTAGAAATACTTCTAAATATCCAAAAATTCGTATTTTCTAGTTTTATAAATTTTATATTTGCGTGATTTAACATACAACGACTGAGTCACGTCAAACAGCTGCTAGAGAGTCACAAAGTCGTCATTTTTTCACTCTACTGAGTGACAATTGCTGGAGACAATTTGGCGACCTATTTCATTGATCTCTAGGCTTCACAAGAATATCTAGAGATTGCCCACGTCGTCTTTGTCGAAAGAGAACCTTTGAGGTTGTGGACACTACACGACAATCTTCTTGAATGCTCAAAATTCCCGTGCATCATTGACACATGGTTGCCGTGACGTTGGAATTTATTTTTCTACTTTCAACTTAATTTCTACTTCATTTAGTAAAAAATTGTGTGATTTAAATTTACCAAACTATATTTGATTCAATTATGATTCTTTCGCCTTTTATAGATCTTAATTTGTAATCACTTACGTAAGAATCACTAGGCAGAACTCTATTTCTATTTGATTCACATTCGTCGGGTGCTAACGTCATCCTAACATTCACACCCTTATTTTCTTCTTTCACGAATTTAAGTATATTTTATTTTCATTTCTCAATATAAAATTCATAAAAAAATTATATTCTTTGAGAAAAATACTAAAAAGTTTCCCAATATTATCTTACATCTCTGTGATTGACTTGGTAAATTACAACTATTTTTGTAAATTTGATTGAATTATAATTGATATATTTGTTCAGAAATACTTCTAAATATCTAAAAATTAGTATTTTCTAGTTTTATAATTTTTAAATTTACGTGATTTATAATACAACAACTAAGTCATGTCGAAAGGTTTGTCACCTTCCTATGGAAATCGAACATAAGACTTATTAGGTTATAAAAAATCTTAATCTCTCTTTAGACACCATAGGTAAGCATTGTATGTTGTAGTTCCAAGAGCTTCAAGAACTACCCAATGATTTGTACGAGAAGTTTCTGATTTACAAAGCAAAAATGATGGCTTTTTATAACAAGAAGGTGAGCAGAAAGAGTTTTCATGAGCATCAAAAAGTTTGACTTTACAATTCTAGACTGAAACTATTCCTCGAGAAATTATAATCTAGATGGGATGGACCATACCTTGTGATTAAAGTTTTTGACTGTGGTGCAGTATTAATTACAGATCTGAAAATTGGTAAAATTTTTAATGTGAATGGGCAAAGATTAAAACCTTATTTAGAAATGAACCCTCCTTCTTTACCCATTTCCACTCAATTATATGATCCATCCATTGAACCTTAATCTTCTTAGAACTTCCCCTCCATCATGTACTCTAAGATGGCATAGCTTTCTTTTTCACTACATTCCTTTTTTATTATTTTTCTCTATCCTTTGATGTTTTTCTTGAGTTTTTATTAAGCAAACAGATCCAACGTTCTAGAGGAAGTGCATATCATGACACAGATTAATACAAAAGAAAATCAGAAGGATGAAGAGTGAAAATCAGTTTGCACATTTAATGCTTTCTCCTTTTTCTCTTATATAGATGCATTGAGGTCAATGCGAATGGTTGTTTGGGGGGGAAGAATAAATGCATGAGGGTGAATACATGAGATTACATAATGTGCTATAATGCTTATAACTAAATGATGAAGTTCATCATCTTTCATGGTGCATATAACCCACACTCTTAAATTGAGAAAATCTACTTTGATCTTCTGCCAGATTTATGTTATGAATTCTTATTATTAACTATGAGTAGTAAATTGAATCTTTCTCTTTCATGATCAATAGTCGGTCAAAAAGTTTTCAAATTAGTTGATGCTTTTATTAATCATTAATCATGATTAAACTTGAGACAAAAGGATAAAACATGGTAAAGATTACTTTAGAGAAAATAAAATAAAAATCGTAGTAGCACCTTAGCTGATTTCGTGGGGCTTCCACATGTGAAATTAGGATCAACAAGGCTTGCAAAATACTTCTTGTAATGATTCTTCTAGCTTTTACAGATCTTGATTTGACTAATTAAATCATCTATAATCACATATGTAAAAATTACCAGACAGAACTCTATTTCTGCTCGGTTCCCATTCATTAGGTGTTGACATCATCTTGACATCTACACATTTATTTTCCTTTCTCACAAATTTAAAATATATTTTCTTTTCTTTTTTAAATTAAAAATTTATAAAAAATCATATTCTTTGAGAACATTTTTGAAATATTACTTGATATTATATTACATCCCTATGATTGACCTAGAAAATTTCTACTATTTTTAGAACTTTTATTAAACTATAATTGATATAATTATTCAAAAATACTTTTAAATATCTAAAAATTAGTGTTTTCTTGTTTTATAAATTTTAAATTTCTTTGGTTTTCTAAACAAGGGATATTAAAATTATTAAAACTCTTCAGAGGTGTGACCCAGGTTTAGTCTCACATTGATTATATGCTGAGTTTTGCAGTTGATATATAGTAATACTAGACTTGATAATCAATGTGTCCTTTTCTCACATGTGTACGGCCACTCTTTATCACATGCCTGATTGGCTATTGATGATGTAGAAGGGGAGTGATGCACATGTGTCTCCTATTAGTCCGTCTTTAGCCACTCAAGCCCTTATTTTATTTCTCTTCATTTACCTCAAAAATAAGATTATTAAAATTATATAAATTCACATAAAATTCTATAATTAGCCAAATTAAACTAAAAACTATTTTTCATAATTTGACATAAATATAAGTCTATTTATCATGAGTTTGGATTAAAACTATATTATTAATTAATTATTAACTCATGATAATGAAGACTTATCAACCATCTTCACTAAAGCATGTACTTTTTGATTAACATCAAACTTATTCAATGATTATATCATCGTATTTGTCAAAGGATCAAGAGAATAGATTACTTGATGTACTTAGGACATAGAGAGAGGTGATTGGCTGGTCTCTAGTAGATATTTGAGGACTTGACCTATTTGTGTGCATGTGAGAGGATTATTGGTCGAGTGCTTTAGTTAGAACTATTCAGGGGCAATAGTGTAGTAGATGGGGCATAAAAATCAGAATTTTCTTCTCTTTTCCCTTCTCTCACATGCATTAAGGACAATGCAAGACTCAAGTAGGGGGGAGGTGGCGTGACTCAGTCGTTGTATATTAAATCACGTAAATATAAAATTTATAAAAGTAGAAAATACAAATTTTCAAATATTTAGAAGTATTTCTAAATAAATATATTGATTATAATTCAATAAAACTTTCCAAAATAGCAGTAATTTTCCAAGTCGATCACAAGGATGTAATACAATATTTGATAATTATTCAGAATTTTTCTCAATGAATACGATTTTCTATGAATTTTATACTAAGAAATGAAAAGGAAATATATTTAAAATTCACGAAAAAAAAGGAAATAAGGGTGTGGACATCGGGATGATGTCAGCACCCGGCAAACACGAATTGGGCAAAAACAGAGTTCCGCCCGACGATTCTTATGTAAGCGATTACAAATGATTTAATTAATCAAATTAAGATTTGTAAAAGCCGGAAGAATCGTAATTGAACAAAGTATATTTTGGTAACTTAAAAACACAAAAATTGTCACTAAATGAAGCATAAAGTAAATTAAAAGTAAGAAAATAGAGTTTTGGCATTGCGACGGCGATGCGTCGATGATGCACCAGAATCCTAAGTGTTCAGGAGGATTGTCATGCAGTATCCACAGCCTCGAAGGCTCTCCTTGGACAAAGACAATGTGGGCAATCTCTAGATCTTCTTGCAAAGTCTAGAGATTAATGAAATGGGTTGTCGAGTCGTCTCCGGTGGCTGTCACCTGGTAGAGCAGAAAAACGACGACTTTGTGGTTCTCCGGTGGCTGTCACCTGTCGGAGAGGAGCTGGATGGAGGTGGGGCACATGTCAAGGAGCTTCATCTTCAAGTCTGCAAAACAAGAGGAGGCTCTTCATCGCATTTGGTATGCTCTCAAGAGGTGGCGACTCGTCTCCCAGCAGATCGTCCTCTTCTTGATGACAGCTTGTTCATCGATCAATCGGAGATGATTTACTCGTTGGATTTGCGATCCTTTTATCACAAATCTTTCAGCAATTTTAGTAGCAATGCTCCACGAATTGTGTTGATGAGATTTTCGCCGATGATCCAGCGATTCTCGTTGCTTAATCCTTCACCGGTGATCTATAGGAAAGTCACGATAATCAGATAAAAATATATGACTTTTGACTCTAGAAGGACTCAAACCTGCGCCAGTCGCCCGCCTCTTCTAAGGTGTGACGCGGGTTTAGTCCCACATCAGTTGCGCCGATTTTTCAGGCGAATATATAGTAATGTTAGCTTTCTAAGCAAAGTCCCTTCTCTCGCGTGTACGACCACTCCTTGCCCCACAACCAGCTGGCCACCGGTGATGTGGAAGGGGAGTGGCGCACACGTGCCCCCATCGGTTCAAGCCGCTCGAGCCCTTGCTCACGACTACTTCCCAACTGCACTTCCGACCTACTTGCAGGCCCGGCTAACCGGCGGGTCTCCCCATTTTACAATATTTTTATTTTTATTTCTTGTTCTTCATTTATTTCAAAAGTAAGACTGTAAAAATCGTATAAAATCATATAATTATCCAAAAATTCACATTAATC